CTTTGTCATTCTCAAAGTCTTCTTCTTCTTCTTCTTATTCTTTAGCGTTTGTCCCGCTTGTAAGCGGGTCCGCTTTTCTGATATGTTGACGCCGCTTCTCCCGATTGAACGCTTGATCGGGGTGGATGTTCAAGCGTTCAATCGGGAGAAGTGGCGTCAACATATCAGAAAAGTATTTCTTGCTGGTACTTTGTCATTCCCGAAGTACCAGCAAGAATACTTTTCTGCGCCCATCTAATTCGATATCCAAACCTGGTTTCTAATGTACTCCGACAACTTTCTTGAAAACTTTTTTATAGACCGCAAATAATGTTGGAGCTTCGGTTTACGGGGCCAAAATACGTGAACTAATTCAACCAGCCTCAGGGCCTTATGAATGCAGAGTATGCAAGGAGTGGTACGCGAACATGGTCGAGTGCGGCACTGACGGAAATACTTGAGCGAACTAAGTGCAATATGATTATATCAACCGCTGCACAAATAAGCTTCACGACTACTCAAATTCACTGGCTAGGCCCACAAAATGCGATGCCGTCACGCTGGGATGTTGACTGCTTTAACCACGTCTGTCAGGAAAAGAAGGAATCACAATAACAAGAGTCCTGGGAGAAATACGATTTTCCCCGTGATTTCTAAGTACCAATACGACCATATAATTTTCGCAAAACTGGGGAGAAATGCAAAAAGAAGTGAAATATAATAGTCAGAAGCTCTTTTTACAACTCACTTCACAAATTGCTCTCGCTATTCCCATGAAACCATTAATATCATATTCCCTGATCCCCAAGCCAATCGCCGCAGTTTTCCAGTAACAATTTACAAAATATGAATATATTTCTGACATTGAGAGGCAAGCGTCTTCAAGTGACGGTGAACCTAAATATGTTCAATAGCTGGCACTTAAAATCAGAAGACCAATGAATACGGGACTGGACACAATAGGTAATCGAAATGCTGGAAGTTTTTGGAACGCCGTGAATTATGCTGAAAAAAAGTAGCAAAGCCGAGTTCGAGCGCTGAGCCCTTGGGAGGTGGTATCTCGCAAAGTGATTTGAGCGTATCTTGAGTATACGAAGTTATGAAAAGTTGCCCTTCAACTCAATAATCCAAACCTCAAACCACTCAGGGAACCGCCCTAATGTTGTTGGTATTCAACACCGAGCAATATTCAACCAAATACATGCGACATCTCAAATAGGCGGAGCGACGCGATGGGCGTGGTGAACAAAGCAAACGCTATCCACCAACACTGCCATCGCCGCACTTCATGCTATGGACAACGTCGTCGAACTGCGATGTGCCGATGGCACAACGCTAATGACAACAAAGGAGACTCTAGCTCGTGCTCCTTACTCCAAGCTCAATACAGATGAAACGTCGACGACCACATCCGACGCCAAAATGTTGGCCATTATGCTGGATACGTTGAGACGCGACGATCAACGCCTAGTTGTGCCAGACGACTTTAACGATTGGGGGAAGTTGGCCAACGAAGCCCGACGGTTGGGTTTATCTCAAATAGCTGAGCTAGCGTCACCTTGCACTATTTGTGTGGCATGCCATGTTGCTTTGTCTGCTGGACGACTTAATCCGGAAGTCACCTTTCGAAAATTGTCACGTATTGTCATTTCCGGCAAACTAAGTGTGTGTCGTGCAGTATTCGGATCAAACCTTAACGAAACTCGCGATGGTGGTGGTACAGACTTCGATCAGGAT